TCTCCTCTGAGAAATTCGAAGGTAGACAATATGCCTTCATATAGAAATCAAGCATAAGATCATAATACCAAATTGAATAATGTGCACGTTTTAATTATCACGAAAAGTATACAACTGAGTTATTGTCATGCGATATTTGTACAGCTCAGGGAGACCCAAAATCTAGATTACTGAACTAGATGTAACCATGTACATGTAACTGGTGCTGTACTGAAAGATATATACATACAGAAAGTGAGTAAGTTCATTGTGAACAAAGTGCACAAGCCACGCGACATACGTGACATCAAATGTCACGCAAAGTGCTTTGCTACATGTTATTTAGGGTTATCTTTTTATAACTTTTCAAATATCTTTTGTTTTATGACATTTTACGTTATGCAAAGTTACTTTTTCCGTTAGTGCGCGAGCGAGTTTTACGCCGCTTTTAGCAATATTCCAGCAACATCACGGCGGGGGACACCAGAAATGAGCTTCACACATTGTACCCATGTGGGGAATCGAACCCGGGTCTTCGGCGTGACGAGCCAACGCTTTACCCACTTGGCTACCCCACCGCCCCTTTCCGTTAGTATACATTAATCAGTTCATGATAAGACGGACTCACCACAACCCTGGATGAATTAAAATGGATGAGTTAAGCAAATACGTGAAGAGGCTAACTGATGCATGTATAGACCAGATCTATAATTCTTAGGAAATTGTCGTTATGTGGCTGAAATAGTACCGATGCAACGATAAACTTGAACTTACTCACTCTTAGGAAATCATCGACAGAAGTAACAAAAAAAGCATATTGATATGCACTGAAACAATGCACTGATATTTTGATCGATGAGCGTTTGAGTTAATATAAAAAACAGCAATGCACGAGAATACGTGTGGCTTAGATACTGGTCGAATACGACTACAAGTGTTATTCCGCGACTGATAGCATATTTAGTGGGTAGTTATACAGGGCACACAGATGTTTGTCGAATGCAGAGTTAATCTCTGTAGGCCACCGTATCTCAAGTTACAATTTCATAAATATATAGCGACGGAGACATGAATATATATACCTCGTTTGTCGAATGTCTGAAACATTTTCAACGATGAACGATTTCAATTTGACTTTTCGAATTTCTTAATAAAAACTCTTCACACATATTTCTATGATACCCCAAGCTGGTAATCGTGGCAGGTTTTTCCCTGACGGCTGTTATATCTGTATACCTTTTAATCTTATCACACAATAAAGCAGCCGTTTCATATCCAGGCACCGTAAACATATTTGTTTCAATTTCATTACTATGTCTGTGTAAGGGTACTTACCAAGGGTTTATAGTTTATAGTGACGTGCAAGCGCGCGTGTGTGTTCACCTGCATGTCCCTGCATGTCTCCGAGCCGGACAGTAATCTTTGTAATACATTCAGGCCAATCGCCAGGCAAGGAAACGACAGGTACCATCTTTCAAAGTCGAGGCCAGAGGAATTATTGACCCTGCACCACGAAGGCACCATAAAAAAGGAATAGCCACACTGAGTGGTACATGATGTACTAAATGCTCAGACAAAGCGATGTCAACATTATTTCGTTATTCGATGCAGAAAACAGGTTGCTGAAACACTCAACGCACAGGACTGGCATTTACAGAAGAATCAACTGTTAATGTCTCTGTTAATGTATGTTGTGTCTACAATGAAGGGGTCGATCAGCTTTTCCATGCATACTATTAAAATAGTATGGCATATATTGAGGTGAAACTACTACAGGAGCATACGTCAATGCCAGGAAATGAAAGTTAGTTATGCACGTATCAAGAACTTGTCCGAAGTTACCAGGCTTCCAAACACGACGTAGTGCGCCACATCTCATCCCACCAACCGTTAGAACCCTTTAGATCTTTTGCCTTTTGCCAATACAGTATATTATATAGATCAGAGTATTTGCCTTGATTATTCCCAATACGTGTTTAAAGTTCATTAAAAGCCTAGGGACTTAAAATATATATATCACACCAGAAATAAGCAGGTGCATAAATTCATCAGCTACACTTCCTACTCCAGACAAAGAGACAGGGGGATGCACTCTCTTGGGAAAGGAGGGGTGCACATTTCATTTTCACAAGAGTTTCAATGGTCTTTTAATAAACTTTCTGGAAAGGGGTAGGGTTTGGGGGAGGAGGAGGCCCCTGCAGCCCCCTTTCTGGATTCGCCTGTTCAGAAGATTGCAATGCCTTACAATTGCATAGTACATGATGAAATAAACAGCGACAAATATAGCTCAAGCTTCAGGAGACTTCATTTCATAAATTGTTTCTGTCGCCTGACATGGTTACTTCCAAAATGAACACAAAAATACCCCAGCCTTGTAATATATACACGCACGGCACTCTCTGGTTTGACAATATACGAACGCAGGTCCAGTTTAGCTGCCACATAAACTCAACCACTTGTGCAACATGCCGGTAGCTGATGACTTTCATTCCCAACCATCCTGACTTTCACGCCGTAAATACAGAAAGACACTGGGGATATATATCTACTACTTTGACCGACCTAGACACAAACAGCAAAATCTATCATCACACCAAAGTCTTCGATGTAATTTTGATTAATTATTTTGTACATTTTCATTATTTATCATTGTCTGTGCAGTAGCAGTATAAACGGGCCGACTCTGTCCCAACATTTTATGTCAAGCGAAAATACATCTTTCATGTGGTTGGTTAACTGGTGCAGTGTGGTTGTAGAAAAACTTTTTTTAAATTTAAATTTTCTTTGTTTGTCAGTGTCTCTGCATGGGGTATCCTCCATACAAACTTTGAAATATAAGTATATACTTAATGATAACATGAATAACAAAGAAATATTTATATAGCAAAATAAACTGCAAACATTACGAGCACAACCTCAAACGCCTCAAGGTCATGTCACGGAGACCTAGTACGCATAATCTACAGTGCAGAGTGTTACAGCTGTATGACAAATACATGGAGGATTGATCAACACCCATAAGAATAATAGCCACAACATCCATGCAGAATGAAGCATAAATATTAATGCCAAACTATTCAAGAAAGTGTGCCAAATAGAATACAACTTTCCCGAGAGGAGATACACATTACTCAAAGTCCTACACAAGCGCATCACAGATTACAATTATATGCACGGGTTTCATCAGGTTTGGAAACTGTGATTTCGAAATCTGACACATTTGTTTTGGGGACGTTTCCATTGAAGTCTACAGGGCGTGGAGTAAGACATCGATGTGATAAATCTGTGTTTTCGTAGGTCTTGAGATAAACGTCAAGCAAGGCAGAGTCAACGCCAAATGGCAACATTCGTATACAACGGTAGAGTGAGTGAGTTGAGTTTTATGCCGCACTCAGCAATATTCCAGCTATATGGCGGCGGTCTGTAAATAATCGAGTCTGGACCAGACAATCCAGTGATCAACAGCATGAGCATCGATCTGCACAACTGGGAACCGATGACATGTGTCAACCAAGTCAGCGAGCCTGACCACCCGACCCCGTTAGTCGTCTCTTACGACAAGCATGGGCTACTGAAGGCCAGTATTCTAACCCGGACCTTCACGGGTACTACAACGGTAGAGATAAGATCTCATATATAGTTAAACTAGCTACATGCCTATGCCCCTGAATTTCATCTTTTGCCTCAGACAATAGCGAGTGTTCTGAGTGTTTTAACGTATCCAGGTGCCTAGGCTGCAAATAGTGTTAATGAAAAACGAATTTATGCTAAAGAAACCATTTGAAATATTCTTATGTTACATATAATTGACGAGGTACTCCGTCCCCATTCCTGATCCACAGTGTTATAGATTAAGACTTGTGCAGTGGATCAATATTCGGAAGTTCCTACGGATTAGAAATGAAAAATCAAATATATATTTATACTATTGAGATTTGAAACCTTGGATTGTCACAGTAGAATTCAGTGTTCTCATACACGTATGAAAGTCAAGGTGTAACTGGTAGTATCTAAGCTTAAAGTAGATGTACACATGTTACTGACTTGAGAAACACAGTACCAATATGCCATGTACATGTGTGTCAAGTACCAATTTATGTACATATCTGAATGTAGGGAATTATCATATATATGAGAAAATTCACACGTGAACCATCACTACTTATTTTGCCCTTGTCCATTATTATAATAGTTATGGAAAAAACAATATATATCATTAGGTGCTCGTTGGATGATATTTAGTGTGAGAACATTTCATGTGCAATTAAACCTTTAAATAACATACCGGGCGGGGGTAGCTTAGTGGTTAAAGCGGTTTCGATTCTCCACAATGTGTGAAGCCCATTACTGGTGTCCCCCGCCGTGATATTGCCGGAATATTCTTAAAAGCGGCGTAAACCCACACTCACTCACTCACTCACTCACTCACTCACTCACTCACTCACTCACTCACTCACTCACTCACTCACTCACTCACTCACTCACTCACTCACTCACTCACTCACTCACTCACTCACTCACTCACTCACTCACTCACTCACATAACATATTGTGCAAAACATATGCGTTGATTTTAGAGATACGATACGCCTGAGACTCTCTACCCGTGAAGATCCGGGTTAGAATTGATCTTCAGTAACCCATGCTTGTCGTAAGAGGCGACTAACGGGATCGGTGACTTGGTTACACATGTCATCGTATCCCAGTTGCGTAGATCGATGCTCATGTAGTAGATCACTGGATTAACTGGTCCAGACTTGATTATTTACAGATCGCCGCCATATAGCTGGAATATTGCTGAGTGCGGCGTAAAACTAAACTCATTCACTCACTCCTCACATCTGACAACTCATGTATCAGTGTCATTAGTATTACCTGACAAATAATCTGAAATCCGAAAGGTATGCACCGAATGTTTGTCGCTAGAACTGTCTGATACTATTCATCATTGACAACAATCAATACTGAATAATATCATGAATAAGACAGTAGAAACCGAAGTAATTATGCGCGTGTAGATTTCATGATTCAGTGCACCGCCTGTACATTTATAGACTGGTTGTAAAACGTCACTACTTGTTAGGAATCGACAGTTCTGTGCCAAACCCGAACAGGAGCTGTCTCTGAGGTATGTACCTGTGCACCATTACGTCCAGTTAACAACATGCCTTAGTTAACAGCTGATGACAAGACAATACGGATGAAAAACTTCTATATTACTGTTGTAGATTAATGTGTAGATTCCATATGAAACCACCTTCACGTACATCATTATAGCATATCAGCAACTAATTCGACTATCTAGTGAGTCGTAACTCATCTAAAACAATGACTTCGGTCTTTGCTTCCTCAAACTGCCTCGGTCACTTTAATCTCCTCATGTAAATCCTTTGTGTAATATACTTGTTTTGTAAAGTTTGTTGTTGCGGATACTTCTAGCCCTTTAAACTGCAGTTATGTAATGAAAAGAACATTCTTTATCTGCTCTCCATCAACTGTCTTGGTTGGTCGTATGAATATAGATCAGACAGACCTTAAGGAAATACTGCCCTAGGAAGAACGATTTGGGAACCAAACAACCAAAGACTCTTGAAACATTGCAGGTAGGCCGCAGTTGTTAAATCCTTCTGTGCCATAATTATTTGTGTATTAGTATTTGTGTTCAGACTCGTGGGACTCGTGATAACTGTTTTGATCAGTTCCAACATGATCAGTGTGTGAGTGTTTTACGCCACCTTAGCAATATTACCGCAATATCACGGCGGGGAACACCAGAAATGGGCATCACACATTGTACCCATGTGGGGAATCGAACCCGGGTCCTTGGCGTGAAGAGCGAAAGCTTTACCCACTAGGCTACCCCACTGCCCCTGCGACATGATGAACGTATGGTTACTGATATGATTCAAACTGGAAGGTTTAGCCGATATGTTCATTGTCGCATTTTTGGATAAGCAGACTTCAGAACAGGTTTCTGCAGAGCCAAACCTTTAATCGGCCAGCACAGAGAGCCAGTGGGGCGGTGTGGTAGCCTGTTGGTTCGCTCGTCACGCCAACGACCCGGGTCCGAGTCCAGACCTGGGGACAATCTGTTGAGCTCATTTCTGGTGTCCCCTACCGTGATATTGCTGGAATACTGCTAAAAGCGGCGTAAATCTGAACTCACTTACTCAGCCATTATTACACAGCCCTGTCATCTGTCGTGATTGTTTACGGTCTGACCTATCCCATTTGATATTCCTTATCAAGAGGTGAAGTTTAGCAGGGTACTGTAGCACATATTGAAAGAAACCCACAGATCACACACACAGACCGAGAGTAGTCTTGTTATTTGCTCAGTAGATTTTCAGGTTCAAAGGATATCTCACTGACATCGAACTGGACGATATATCAGAGGGACAGAGAGAGTTGTGGTTCTCCTTTGTCTGAGACTGGTAACGGTTTACATTGTCTTTTGTGCTATATGATTACATTCTATATTAATTGAAATGGTCTTTGTTTTTTCAGTGCTTATGATGTTTCGAAGGGTAATTCTGGTGCCTGTGCTGGTGTTGGTGGCTGCAGCGTCCGTGACGGCACAGCTTTATCAAGTTGAAAAACATGGTTTTGAAAAGCCACTAGTGTTTCTGAACTTCGCCACTGAAGAACCGCCATTATTTGAAGGTGACAGCTTTTCACTCATTGATCAGGGAACTGTTTCATGTGAGGAGTGAGTGAGTGAGTTTAGATTTTCGCCGCACTCAGCAATATTCCAAAATGTTACTGCTTCACATCTCCATATCAGGAGGACCCAGCTCATAATTTAAATGTCAATGCTCTACCCATTGTTCAAATGAAGTGGCGTAATATCTCATTGAGGCAGAGTAATGCCCACTCACACATTGTACGTTTGGTGAGAACCTTAAAGTCAGCACAATATCGCTAAACTACAATGGTTGGCAGTTTCTCCAGACATCTCTTACAGAGAACATCCTGTTTATGATAATGTTTTTGTGCTAACGCTGCGCATCCAGTGGCAATGTTTTGGGTAATCTCTGTAAAGCCATTGCATAATCTACATTTCCATCCGAACTCAGACCAGCTGACTTCATACAAACAAAGAAATCTTCAGGGTTACCGTTACGTTGAACATCCTGCACATAAACTCGATGACGTTCAAAGACTTACCCGGTTTATAACCGATCGTGTGGTTGTTTGATATTTATTATTATTTAATTATTATAGGATATGTATATAGGGCACATGTCCAGACAACTAGTACATGCTCAAGGCGCTGATATTATTGGATAAACATTTGATGAAGCATTTGCCCACTCATTTGGCACTCGCTTGGTTGATATTCATCTCTGTGCCATCTAGAATTACAGAACCATCAACAAATTCAACATCGAGAATGATATGTATCCAACATTCTTGGTTCTTTTAAGAAATTATACAAAGCCTTGTTTTTATCAAGAGTTCGTATGTGTTTATCAAGAAAATAATCAGATAAATGAATGTGTGCCATTATGTAGAATTGTATTCTGTCGTGGAAAACCTCCACGTTAATCAAACCACAAGCCTCTCATTATGATTGGTAAATATATGCGATTGCTGGAAGAGCAGGTGTGATGGGATTTACTGTCTGACATGTTTCTTCTTGTGAGAATGTTAATATTTAGAAGTTCTTTCTTGTCCCCCCAAACCAACCCCCAAAAACCCCCCCAAAACAAACAAAACAAACAAAACAAACAGCAACAAAAACACGAAAAAAATGCATGTAAAAAAACACACACAAAAAGCCAAAACAGAACACCAAAGGGCGAGTGCAGCATGAAGTGTTTGTTGCTTTGACGTTACAGCCAGCGTCATCTCTTTGTCCCTAAGTATATGTGGCCATGACCCAATACGAGGTGGCCAGCAGCTCTACCCCTATCATCATCATTATCGTAGACTAATTACTAAAAGTCTTTTGTTATTTTAGAAATGATCCCGCTGTTTTAGGCACAATTGATGTTTCGCTACTACAATGGTGAAATCAGACGTATTGATGTTCAGGCACTCTTGTTTTCTAATAACTCGAAGTTATCCAAGCACACGAATGAATGTCACAAACGATGTAATTAAATCTCGTTGTACAAAACTGAACATTCTTCGATTATGACGTCACGTTGCAATGCTCTGTGACAGATATTATTAGCCATAAGTAACGTATTGTATGACAAATATATGTTATTGCATAAGTATTTTATTTGGTTACAGCGCCGTCAGAGGAAGTGTGTGATTGGGAACTTGACACAGAGGTCTGTGTTAAGAGGTTGCTGGAGAAAGAGGGCGACAAAAAGATAAAGAGAGGGTGGGTGAATTTAAGAGCAAGGCATCAAAACCATACGTTATATTGGAAGGATAACTTGGATTTGTGGAAGACTATGACGGTCAAGATCCAACAAAGGATGGGTGAACTAAAAGAAACGAAAGCGAAAGAACGGGAACTTTTGAAACGGAGGCTAGAAGAGCAGCTATTGAAGATGGAAGAAGAGGAGAAAAAAAAGGAAGAAACAGAGGGGAAAAAGTTGAAGGAATCACCAGGCTTAGGGGGTCTGAGTAAAGCTGAGATGAGACGTAAGTTGGAGGAACTCAAACAGAAGATTAGAGCGGAGTGGCAAAAGAAAATCGTTGAACTGGAACTTACGATGAAAGCGATGTTGGCACAAATTTAATGCATCAATGGAGGAAACAGGTGCTAATGGGAAGAACAGGAATAGCTATATCAACAGAAATTTATTATTGGATAAATGTTTGATGAAGAACATTCGCCCACTTTGCACCTTTTAATAAAGGATATTGTTGAAGACATTGTTCCTGTCTCCAGGAAAGGCTACAGACATTGTACTTTTATTTCGCCCCCCCCCCCCCACTTCCTCCCTCAAGCAAGCCATATTAACCCGTTGCGTTGAATAAAGGACTAGTATATACATGGTGTTACTGTGTTAAATATAATATTTAACTTCTTCTTGTAAACTGTCTTTAATTACAAAACCTTCAAATTGTGATGTATCTCTCTTGCGAAATGTCAACGTTTGATCCTGGAGTAACCAAATGGGTCCTTTTAAAAAAGCAACACACACACACACCAAAACAGTCTAAGGGCATACATGAGGCAAGTTATTGAAATAGATAGTTTGCTTCAGTTAATTGGCAATCTGTTGACGAGATTTTAGCAAATGTTGAATGTGAAAATGTCAGGTGTTGATTACCAAACTGTAAATTCAAGGGTAAACTTGAAATAAGTCCATTTAGAATAACGTTGTGATATAAAAAAATGCCACTGAAGATAAATGGACAATGAACTCATTCCAGTGAAACGTACAGCACTTCATTTAGTAGGAAATACTAACATATGTTGCAGCAGTAAGGACCTAATTGCGGTGCCCTATAATACCGAGGGAAAACGAAGGTGGCAAACGGATTTGGTTCTTTTGACAACCATTATGTATACGTGGAGTGTTTCAATTAATTTACTTCACTCCCAAACACTTAGTTACAGCATACATACCTTGCCACCTAACGATAGTTAATCCCATAAAGACTGTTATAGGAAGGGAATTAGATTTTTGAGCAACTCCTCGGATCGGGGTTCTCATGGTTTTTATCACGGGGTTGTCTGGTCCAACAATCAAAACAGTCTTATTCACTTGCACATTCGTACATTTACACACATGATGACGTTATGGAGATGACATAACCTAAAGAGGTTATCTTATCCCACATAATCGGATCACAGGCCCTGTTTAAATATAGATTCATTGTATATTCGATAAAAATGAAACGATTTTAATGGTAGAAATACATAATACAATCATGAATTTCTTTGAAAATATAATCGGTATAGCATTTTTGTGGTGTGAAGGATGGCACTCCCTTAGTATTCCACACAAACTTATGTGTACAACATACCTATAATCAAACGGCGAATCAACGTTAAGAGTATGTACTCGCTTTACATCAAATTAGTAAGCATGGGATGTAACAGCTGCTGTCTGAGTCAATTTATGCTAGAAATGGCATACATTTAGCCACGTCTATGTATCTATGTATTGTAACGTCTGGCTATCTAACATTCCATTTAGCGAGAGTCTGCAGTCAGTTCAAGCGATCAGAACATGCACATATGACTCTATAAATTTTCATACCAAAATTTGTACAAAGCAACAAAGGGGTCTTAACTTTTGCCTGATAATTTGACTTAAATGTCAACATGTTTTGATATCATGAGTTCAGTTATTCGTGTTATGGTTATGACATTACCGTAATAGTTGTAATAATGGTATGCTATGCATGCTAGTAAGACAAATTTGGATATAACAATAAATAGCCCGATGAACTTCAGTTCAGTAAAAATTGTTGGTAGATGTCATGTTTGTATATACCATGACTAAAGTACATTCAAATGTGACTAAAATTATTTCAAATATCCCTAACATATAAATTGTATTTTGGGAGACCATATGCATCTTGAACCTCCGTCAGGCCATTTCAACATATGTCTACAGTTTTAGTGTCAGAGTATAGTACTCAGTACACACGGGCATTGTGCACATTGTTGATTGGTGACATATTCATTTCAGAAATAAGGACTACTCCAGCGTAACTTCTTGACTGGGGAATTTCCTGTTCTATTCTAAAAGTTAACGTAACCATATCGCTTTTTATGATGGGCAGTTCAAGCCATTCCGGGTCACTTTTACAAGTTTAGAAAACTGCACTGTTACGGTTCTATTAGGCCAATTTTCGTCCAGACACGCTGCTACCTCGTGCCTTGTGCTCAATCGTCAGTGACTGCAACGTCAAGCTTCGGCAATAAATGATATATATATTACAGAAAAACAAGTAGCTATAGGTTTTATGCCAACTGAAGTTTAGGCTACACCGATAGTCCCATATTCCCTCCATTATCAGCCTGCAAGGGCTCAACGTTCAACAACACTATTGCACCTAATAAATACTTGCATGATTCTAGATGGTTCAATAGTGATATGTTTAAGTCCTAAAATGATTACTAGATTTCAATTCAGTCGACAATTTGTGTTCACATGTTCGATGTTAAAGTGACCAACAATAATAAGTACCATGTTCAGGTCTATACCATTTCTCCTATCACATTAAACTAAGTCTCCCTCTTAGCAGATCTATATAAGCCCTAGATACCGATAAAAATGGAACTGAATTAACATTTAACCATATCGCCTGAAGCCCAATTGAATGTTGCTGGTAAACGTTGTCAGCATGAAGACAATCTTTCATGTCGAAAGAACCCCAACTCTCGGATGCACATCATCACAACAAAGTAGATAAAGAAACTGAGAACAATTGTGGCGGAGGGTTTCAAAGTAATGTATTTTATATTGTGCATCTGATAAGCAACTAAATCAATTTCAAAAGCATTTTCAAATAGCCTAGACTGTTCTGAATAATATCAACTGTCGTGTCGATGTTCAATAGACACAAGAACCTTTCCACGTCCAAAGGATATCTCTGCCAAAAGCAGAGTTCATGTACCAGTCTGACTATATAGTGAAAATGTGTGTTTCTTAAGTACTGAAGTATAGTGATAACACCAGGTGTTTGAGAAAAGGTGGGCGTATCCTACCCACCGTTAGCACCCGTCATAAACAAATGGAAAGGCAAGTCAATATCATACAAGCCAAATAGGGAACTGCATCGCCGATGCGTCAAATTTGGTAATGTCCATCACATGTTCATCACAAAACGTCTTGAAAGCTTTACTGAGTGAAGCCTTGAATAATAACACCAACTGAAGCAGCTGCAGGAATATTGCTCGACATAATAGGGCAGTTGAAGTAATATCTCTACCCATACAGCCCTGTAGACTGGTTTTGTCACTCTGAATCTAAAGTTGACCAAATTGCTTTATTTTGACTCCGAGCAGAGATTCTGATTTATACATATGCATAAAGAAACAGATACGCAAGAAGGGGGACACACATTCCCCCAGGGATTGTCCACTTCTTATCTTAATGGCTTATCCCAAATTTTGCATATATGCCGTCAGTGATTCTTATAGGACCACTTCACATATTGTTTTGTCACTAAACGCAAGATGACATTTGCTTTCATGTTTCATAAATTGAACCTGAAAGGCTGACAGAAGAGGACACTGAGACCTTGACAAGCACCAGGATGTGACTGAATACACACAACCCACAAACTGCTGTTAGCTAACAGTGCCCAGGGGAAAAAGACGGAACATTAATATCAAATATCCATGCAAAAGGTGGACATATTACAAAGCCCCAAAATACCTAAAAACGAAGGGCGAAAGAACCAGTGCACAATACAAGTGAAAGAGAATAATGGAATAATCTTGATTTGGGGCCAGTTGCAAGATATGTTATATTTGTGGAAGAGTAGAACGTTAAAAACCATTGTTTCAAAAGTTCTTAAGCAATAAGGTTAAATCAGGGAATGAACACAGACACACAAACAAAGCAAACTTTATAGCATTTGGATCAAGAGGAAACAACGTTTGTCGTGTTACCAGACTGATGCGATTTCCGCTTCATGACGTTAAAAATCTCTGTGTGTAGTGTGGTCACGGTAGAAAGCATAGCGTATATGCTAGACTATTTTGTCGGAGCTGTAGGAGAAGCTAGTGGTGGTCTGAGCTGATGATGATGTGACTGGGACTCTTTGTAGTGAAATGCACCATAACCGTTTTTCCTCGAACAATAGGGCAATGGAGTTTGTGCAATACTGCGTGTGCACGACGGCTGGGTCATGATTACGAGAAGTGCTAATCAAACTGATCAATGTTCCAAATGTAATACATTGTGGATGCGATAATCTTTTAGGAGCAGTGCTGTGCCATAATTAAACTTGTGCTATAATTACACAAAATACTGGAGTGTGCTACAACCCTATAAGCATCTCCAGGAAGTATACCCGAATCACCTCATTCGCCTGCCTGTGTCCCACATCACCTTATCTTGGGCATATAAGGGGAGCTGACAAGAATACTTGCATTGTGTGTGATCATCATTATACCCTACCAGGCCTGTAGTTACAAGTTGGAAAACTGTTGCTGAGAGGTGAATATCACTGCTTTTATTCCTGCAATCACTGCTCTTGTATAATATTCCCTTTGTATTTGTACTGTCACTCGATTATGTACTGCCATAGAGATCCCTTGGACGTAATTTGTATGGATTTGTGAACTTCATTTTAGAATGCAGTTGTTAATTACATCACATTTCTTGGTTGTTTCTTGGTTTCACACCAAATTGTTTTACGGGCTGATTCCGAGTTAACCTTTAAGTTTCATTTTGAGATAAAACACACGTAATAATTGCCACTTGCACTGTCAGTTTGAAGTTTACCGCTGTTCAGTATAGCGTCGTGCTGATGTTAAACATTGGCTTCTCTCAGTGCACTGATTTCTTCTCCACTTCGAACCATCTGTCATTTATGGCTAGATCCAATACATTTGTAGTTAATCATTGTGTATAATTTCTACACAATTTACAGCATTTCTTTCTCAGTTTGCCTTTGACTTGCAACATTTTAAACGGGAACTCGCCACCACCATGTTATGTAAGAGCTAGCCATATATCTGTTCTCATGTATGAACATGGGCCGGTGGCCTATATTCTCCATGAATAAAGATCTATATCTATATATCTGTTCTCTTTCGTTGAGGTTCAAGGAGGGACGCGGGAGTCCCTTGAAGTTTCATGCCATATTGTAATACTTAGATATACTTAATACTAGTATATGGATAACATGCGAAGAACCCATTGTTATGGGTAAATAGATCTATGTATCAAATAAGTATATTTGGAATGGACAATGTATTGTTGTCACTTGGTCCTTAAACCAGGTTTTTTCAAGGTCCAGTGACCAAAGCTCAGTCCATCTCGGACTTGTATGGACTTAAAGATTTCTGAACTTCGAAGAG